CCCCAAAAAAAAACCATCAAACTCACAAAACAAAACAAAGCTAACGGCAACGTATTTACTAATAAAAGTAAACTGTTTACCTGTAGTTTCATTGACAGACATGATGGTGGTGGGCAGGTAGGCAAAGTTTTCCAATCTGCTTTTTGTGCCGGTGTAGGAGGCGTAGCGTACCTGGCCAAAACAGAGAAATGGGAGTAAGATAACGATTGATAAAGGTCTAGTTGGGGTCTCCCATTGGGAACTTACTTGCCCTACTAGGGGCAACGAGGAGCAACAATCTCTGTGGTATTATTATGTTGGAAGCTGGGACGTCATGTGCGAAAGACAATTTTGACTTATTTTGTGAAAGGAGGCCTCAACTAGGCCTTCAAACAACGATATGTGGCTGTGAAGAAATGCCAGCCAACCTTTATAGACTACTAGAAGTTGTGAGAGTTCTAAGAGGAATGAGTTTATTGCAAATGTTCCGCTCGTCTACTGTATCTAAAAACCATTGAAGTATAAACAAACAGGATTAAAACGTTGAATTAATTGTTGGTGATGGGTGACTGGTATTTCCCCACCGATTTCTTATTATTAATGCTCAAACGAGCAAAAACTCAATGCTATCTGACTGCTGGGATCTCTCTTCGCCGAACTCGCGCACCACACCGTTAGCTCAGTAGGTATCATTCTGAGCTGTTATAGAGCAGATATCCGTGGTTTTTGAATTCCCAACCGGGCGTTCTGGATTAAGGTTATGTGGGAGAGTTTGTAAGGCTTTCCACTCTTATCGCAGATGGACGTACTCTTTATCTGCTTGGGGTTTTGAACAGATTTTGTTGGGGGTTTTCCCCTTGATAAAATTCTGATCAAGAGTGTTACACAAAGCTGTATTTAGATCAAATACGCTGAAGTATAGCTGAAGCATGCACCAAAATGTCCGGAAATGAATGAACTTTTATAAAATATGGAAATTTATATATATTTTATCTTACGCAATCATAAACACGTCCATCTTTTTTTCTTCACACAAAAGTTGGGGAAACATAAAATCAAGGCTTCCTATCAGAAAGCTTCGAATTCGCATTTTATCGCATCCTTGAATGCAATCACGCAGTGTGCGGCTTCGAACTGTTCAGCGAAATAAATATAACACGACGCAGTTTGCGGCTCTGGGCAGATAACAATTTTACAGTGTTGAAAGGTGCGATACATCTATTCAATAACCATGACCAGGCAGGCCCGGATTGAAACTGGAAAGGCAGATGTGAAGTATCCCGCCACGTAAATGATTCAAATCATGTAGATATGGGCGTAAATGTTTTAATGATAATTTTTTTAAAGACATCTTTAGTCTAAATTGTCCCTTATGTTATCGGCCGCCCATTGTCAGAGAGTAAAATAGATGCCTTGGACATATGGGGTCTTGGACAGTGTCAATATAATGTGAGAAATATAAAAGGGGAAAGTGGAAAGAGGACGTTTGGACTGCTGATGGTCGTAGACATGTGACCGTTAGAGCAGGTACGATTGCCCTGGGGTTGTTGCTGTTGTTGTTGTTGTTGCTGCTGCTGCTGCTGTTGCTGCTGTTGTTGTTGCTGTTGTTGTTGTTGTTGTTTGGTTTGGTTTGCTTTGCTTTTCTGTAGGGTTTGTGGGGGGTTTTTGGGGGGAGGCTGGTTGTTTTTTCTACTGAGCTGTTTTCCTTCTTACCAGATCCTGCAGTTCAAACCAGGAACTGGCGTCAATCTGATGTCGGTCACTTTCAAAAGGTTCTGACAGCTCTTTGTCCAGCGTCCAGGCTCCCTCCATGTAACACATGATGGGTTTGAAAAACTCCCGGTAGTCTCTGTGTGTGGTGTTCTGAGTGGCGAACGCCTTGAACCATTCTCTCATCTCCACGATTTGTTCCTGAGAGAAAAAAAGCACACGATTTGTTCCTTGGGAAAATACGACATGAACCAGTGACTGAATTAGCGAGTTGATGTACAGTATGAGAGATTGAAAGAAATAATGATATGTTGATGTTTATTTATTTATATTTGTCTTACTGTTTTGATTAATGTAATGTTAATAGAATTGTAGAAAGATGAAGTAGGAGAGAGAGAGAGAGAGAGAGAGAGGGGAGGGGGAGAGAGAGAGGGGGAGACAGAGAGAGAAGAAAGAGAAAGGAAGGGGGTGAAGGGATCACTTTTAAAACTGAGTCCTTTGAATTATTGTAAAGCCCGTTGAGAGAGCTTATTCTTAGCGAAAATTCACAGTATAAATGCAACCTTTTATCATTATCTTATTTCTAACTAATTAGTCATTAAATTAATCATCAAATTAGCGAGCTCATGTATAAGACAATAAATATCACAATGGCTAATTGATATAAGAGACTGAATGAAAATATAACAAACTGGGGAGAAAGAGGAAGAAATATATATTTTTCCGATATATTTTATAACAGAAAGGACAAAATAATGACAAAATTATGAAAATGAGAAAAAACAAAATAGTGACAAAATGATTTTGAGAAAGGATAAATAATCAAATAAGAGAAGGGGTTAAAAAGGATAGGAAATTGAGAAAAATAATGAAATGATGACTTGAAGACCGAACGAACGAGTTCATGAACAAAAAAGGGAAGAAATGAATCGGGTTTCCTGAACTTTTTGGGCAAAGTATTATGACTGTGTTTCTGTAAAGGTAAATGGAAGTAAAAATGAAATTTCGAAATAAAGATGTCAAACTGCACACTGGTTTCAATAATTGTCCTATTCGTCTTAAGTCAGACCCTTTTGAAATCGAGTGACAAAAAGATGAAATTGACAAAATATTAGAAAAAGGTGATCGAATGAATAGCATGAATAGATAGATAGATAGATAGATAGATAGATAGATAGATAGATAGATAGATAGATAGAAAGATAGATAGATAGATAGATAGAATAGATGCAAAACGGACTGACACTGACAGGTGACAGGATAAAGACACCAACAGCCTGGCGGAAGCATCATGAAAGAAAGACCTGACATATGAATAAATGATAAATCAAAAAACACAAAAATAGATAGACGGATACGTACGTCCACCGAATCTAAATTGGTCACTGCAGGTGGTACATCGGGGAAAGGAATATCCTCTGTTGCGTGGAATTCGGTCGAGGTGGTAGAGGGCATTTTGAGCTTATAGTCGTTATGCCTGGTTCGAAACTCCACGCCATTAAGTACCACAACGACTTCTCCCATACCTATATTGTAAAAAAAAAAAATAGGACAACATAAAAGATAGATAAGAAATATAAATAATAAAAAAAAAACAATACAGAAATAAGTTTATACATACGCAGATGGATAAATTAAGAATGATGATAGTTTTGAAGAAAGCATATGATAAGATAAGATATAAGACAAATGTTTAATGTCCAGAGTCAGGCAAAATGGTTTGGAGTTTCACAACACACACACACACACACACACACACACACACACACACACACACACACACACACACACACACACACACACACATACACACACAGCCTCTTTTCAACACAGATACACACACACATACACGCGTGTGCGCACTCAACGCTCCCCCCCCCCACACACACACCCACACACCCACACACACGTACACATACACACATACACTCGCGCGCACACACACACACACATACACACACTCACACATACGCACACACACACACACACACACACACACACACAGACAAACACGCGTACACACGGAGAGCGACACGCACACACGCGTACATCAGCCCATGTGTATTGATACCACAGCACACACTATAATATTACATTGTATGTTATACACACCAGCGCGCGCGTTAAAAAATTAACAAAATAATACTTTCTCATACATTGCTGTCTTCCGAGCCCATTATATAAATAGTATACACTTACACATCTATAATTATATGCTTAGGCTAACATTCACAGGGGGGCTCTCGTGGCCTAGAGGTTAAGGTGTTGGCCTCTCATTCAAAGGTCCCGGGTTCGATTCCGGGTAGCGACCAAAAAATTTTCTTCTCTAAAATTGTCTCCTTTCACATCCTTTCCTGATCTCTAACAATATTCTGTTATCTGCTTTCGTTTCCACTTTCTGCCCCCACCCCCTCACCTCCTTTGCCCCCTCCTCTGGGCTCCTGACTCTTTCTGCAGCCTTTCTACTGCTACTCCTTGGCTCCTCCTTACTGCTGTCTTTCTGCCACACCCCTGATCTTCTGGTAGGAAAGATCTACACCTAGCCTTCTCGGACAAGGGCGAAAAATCTCGGAGGGCCCGTGTGCAAGTTGCGCACGTTAAAGATCCCTTGGTGGTCTAAAATCAATAAGAGTAGGCTTCGGCCGCCACCCGGGCAAAATTCAAAATTTCCTACCAACGAAAAAGTATTTGGTGTGTCCCGCGCGCTCATATGACCTTATGCAGTTGCGAGCGCCGTAAAACCCTATACTAAACAAACAAACAATAACATTCACATACAGACCCTCAGTCACAAGTATTTGTGATATACATGAACAACTATTGTTTACGGGAATAAAGTTCAAGCTAGATACATTTATCGATATTTTCATTATTTCTTATTATTAGCATTATTTTTGTTGTTGTTGCTATCATTATTGTTATTATTGTTGTTGTAGTTGTTTATGTTGCTGTTGTTGTTATCATCATTGTTGTTATTATTGTTGTTGTTGTTGTTGTGTGTGTGTGTGGTGGCCTATCCATTCGAAATGTTTGGAGCCCCGAGGAGCGTGCTCTTCGCCAGGGCCACCGCCTCCCTTGGGTAGCGGATGAGGCAGTCCAACCTCCCTGAATCCTCCCCGAAGAGATGCCACCCACGGAAACACACAAAAACAACAACAAAAGCAACAACAACAACAACAACAATAGCAACAACCACAACATCACAAGCAAATAAACAAACAAACAACAACTCACCCACAGTTCTGTCGTAGTTGGAATGGTCGTGAATGGTATTGAAACTGTTCCCAACGGCGCCATTTTCGTAGTAGTTCTCGGGGCCTTTGTTGCCTCCCCTTATAATCTTCACCCCAGAATCACCGTCTGAGCGGACCCTGAAACGGAATCCGTGGTCTTTAGTTTTATAGTCTTTGCAAGAGTTTTACGGCACATGCAACACAATAAGGCCACATAAAGGCCGAAGATCTTACAAGAGAGTAAAAAGTAAAGTTATTCCCGCATCCGATCCGGACATTTTGGATTGCCTTGTTGGTGAGACAACTTCCTGGGCATTTGGCATATTGTGGTAGGGTGGCCAGTTCCTTTCCACGCCGTTACAAGAGAGTAACAAAAGAAAAAAAGTAGGAGAGATCAGGACGATAGCTGACATTTGATAAGGAAAAAGCATACGCGAACCAGTCAGTGGTCTAACATAATATCCAATCAGCTGCAGACCACAGCCAACAATGTTTCTGTACAATATAGAACAATTAACATGCAGCCTAAAACAGTAATACGGATTTTCATATTCCGATATAAAAAATATGCATGTTGTTCCGTGCCTCTGTAAGTCTTTTATATTCAGAAAAGAGAATTGGAAAATGGTATGGATACAAAGATAAGCTTAAGTGCTTCATAACACTTTATTTCAAGCGTTCTCGAATGATCAGTGTGCGTGTCCTCAATAGCGTAATAGTCATAGGTTCAAAAAAAATGAAAAACAAACTCAAAACCAAAAAATACGACCAAACTTACCTATTCTAGAGCGCTATCGTTTCTCCTCAGTGCTTGGACACGTTTTAGGCTATTTTTGTTCCTTATCTCTTATCAAAGTGTCTTCAACTTTAAATGATTTAATGTTAATCTTAAAAGCCGTAAAAGTCACACACAAAAATAAAAAATGAGAACAAAACAAAAATATAATCAAAACTATTTTGTAAGTCGTTATTCCCTTTCCTCCGCTGTAAAACGTCATATGTGAGGCAGCGTGGTGGAATCAGGCTCTCGTCAATTTTTGGGCATGTAGAATTATTGGTATCATCTTAAAGCTTGTTCACTTGTCCTTATTTGGTTGAAAACAATATCCATTTATCTTGACTACAAGTCGAGGTATTTGCGAAAGAAAGAGGTGGGGGTAACCTGTTTTCAGAGGTAGAATCAGTAAGAAAATGGCCGCCAAAGATTAGTTATTTCCTTAGCTTAAGAGTCCGTGGTAACTGAAAATGTACATATGTGTTCCTTTAATCAACTTTTTTCAGAAATATCAACACAGAAATGGGTTCTTTAATGTGCATGAAAGGTGTAGAGCCCCCTCAAAAAAATTGATAAAAATTCACAAACCTGCGGAAAAATGTAAGTTTCTTCACTTTGATTATTTTGACAAGAGCCTGATTCCACTACGCTGCCTCACATATGTTTGCCTAGCAAGATGTCGAAGTGATACAAACTGCTCAATATTAAAACAATGAGGAAGAGATAAATTCAGTTCTCAGGACACAAAGATCAACATAAAGAACGTGAACACTTTTCTCTTCTCTGGAAAGACGAAGTCTTAAAGGGCAAACGAGACCGGGGGTTACCCCGAGTAAAGTACTTGGAAAGCCTGAACGGGTGGGTGAAAGGGAAAGATTAGAGTAATGTAGGCTTTTGGAAGCTTTCAAGCCAAAAAAAAAATGAATGCAAAGCATAATTGCCTATGCTGCCCTTCGCTGACAAAAGGTGTAGGTTTTTTTCTTGTTCACGGTAGTTTCGAGAAATCAAAAATGTTCGGTTTTCTTATAATACCTAAAGTATATTGTACACAACATCAACGGTTGATCTCGCACCCTGACGAGAATGCCATTTCCTATGCTCAACTGAAATTGTTTTTACAAAACGAAAATCTCGAAACTGTTGCAAATAAGATTTAAAAGCATTTTGTCAGATAATGATAGCCAAGTTTTAAAAGCTAAAAAACAAATAAAGCAAAAAACTGAGAACCAAAAGTGCTTTTACACTGTGGCTGTCACCTTTCTTCCATAGCAAAATGCAGCAACATTGTTTGCCTCGCCAGATCCCTCACCAAGTCTCTGTACCCGTCCAGCTTAGCGTTCATGGCTTCCATGGAGTTTTCGATGTGGTTAACCGCTTTCTGCTCGAAACTTCCCTCGTCTTCCTCGCTACTGTCGTACCAGGGCGTGGAGCTGTACATCATGTCCATTGCCAGACATGCGGCCAGCTGAGCCGTGAGCAGGACAAGGGCGCCGAGAGAGAGCTGTGGGCAGGAACGTAGAGAAAAGTCAAGTACATATACCTTTGCCTCCTCCTCCTCCTCCT